GGAGGAGGAGAAGGAGAACTATACCTCTCTGTTAGTGCTATTCTTAAGTGATTCTCACAAGCTGTTGGTGGAGAGCGACTCACTGAACGCCGTGAAAAATCCACAAGAAGCTCTTCAGATAGTTAGCTCCATATCCTGTTGAAAGGGTTGAGTTTCACCGGCTGACGAACTAGCATTAGAGTTGGATCTGATTAAATCATCGGATCCCTTTAAGGATCAAGGGAGGAGGTGAAAGTCTGACATGTTGCCAGAAGTATTGACTGTAGATCCTAGCATTGGTGAAGTTGATGGGCTAGATTTGGTGAAGAGGAAAAGCGGAGGGCAAGTTGGGGATTGTTTTTGAGTTGGAGAGTAATTTGGGAAAATTGAGAGGGAGTGAAGCCGGAGGGGAACAGAGAAAAAAAGAGCAACCAAAACAAAAACTCACAGAGAGGAAAGATCAAGAAATCTTAATTTTCTAGCAGCCAAGACCCACACAAAAATAATAAAAAAAGTGAAACAAAGTGTCGCCGGATGGTTGTCGGTTTTTAGGGGGGAAAGGTTCGCCGGTTGGTGAGTGAAAAAAAAAAAGTGGTCGGTGTGGAAAAGGAGAAAAAGAAAGAAAAACGACGGCAAGGGAAGCCTGTCGGCGCGGGGAAGAGAAAGAAAAGGAAGAAAAGAAAAGAAAGGAAGGCTGTGGGCGCGGAGAGAGGAAAAGAGAAAGAAAGAGGAAGAAAGAAGGAACGCCGGCGGGAAAAAGGAGAGACGGCGACGAGGGGAAGAAGAAGAGAAGAAGAAAGAAAGAAGAAAAGACAAAAAGAGAAGGTAGAGAGAAGGGAGAGAACTATGGTCATATATTCATTATGAATACGAGAAAACTACACCCGTTTTTACAGGAGAAAACTACCCAATGTGGGCAGTAAAAATGAAGGCATATCTTCATGCATTCGATCTTTGAAAAATCATTGAAGTTGGTGGAAATCCTTTTGAGATGAGGCAATCAAACCCAATAATTGCACCGTTAAAGCAACATAATGAAGATATTATGAAAAGGTATAAAGCTTTATCCTTTATTTATTTTGCTATTTTTGACTCAATTTTTACTCATGGATTGTGAGTCTGCCAAAGAAGTATGGGACAGGTTGAAGGTTGAGTTTCATAGTAGTGATAGGGCTCGTCAAATGCAAGTCCTAAATTTGCTTAGAAAGTTCGAAATATTGAAAATGAAGGATGAGGAAAGTGTGAAAGACTACTCAGAGAAGGTTGTGAAAGTAGTCAATTAGTTGAGATTATTTGAGAAAAATTTACCAACAAAAAGAATAGTCAACAAATTCCTTGAAAGCCTGCTTGAGAAATTTAAAGCCAAGATATTCTCTAGAGGACTCAAAGGATATGTTTGCATTAACCGTGATAGAACTCGTAAATGCTCTTTAAGCTCAAGAGCAAAGAAGGGCCTTGAGGCAAGAAGATCAAGCATAAAATGCTTTATTGGCACGAGCGAGTGAGAAAAAATGGCAATAAGAAACAGGGTAAGCAAAAGGCTCAGTACCCTCCCTGTCCTTACTATAAAAAATGTAACCATACTGAGCATTTTTGCTAGTACAGACCAAATACTACATGCAAGTCTTGTAAGTAGCTTGGTCACGTGGAGAAAGGTTGCAAGAATAAAACCGATCGAGAAGAAGAAAAAGCTATCATAGCCAAGGACGTAGTCGAGGAACATGATGCGAATGAAAAGGTGTTATTCATGGCCAAGAAACCCAAGAGGTTATGAAGCTCTAGTGTTTGGCTTAATGATAGTGCGTGTCCCAATCATATGACTAGAAATGCAAATAACTTTATTTTCTTGAGCGAGAATTACAAGTCTCAAGTGGAGAGTAATGGTGAAAATCTCAAAATTCTTGGGCATGGGACAATTGGAGTGCAAACTCCCTCATGTATTAAATCTATTTCAAACATTCATTATGTACCTGAAGCTAATCAAAACCTGTTGAGTGTTGGTCAGCTTGTTGAATAAAATTATACTTTGCTATTCAAAGAGAAAGTGTGTACAATCTTTGACTCCTTTGGTGTTAAGTTGCTATTAGTTCAAATGAAAAACAAAAGTTTTCGACTTCATTGGTTAAAGATGGAAGACAAGGCATATTAGCATGTAACCAGTGATGCCAAATTATGGCATAGGAGGCTCTTCCATGTTATTTATACTTCCATGAAGCATATGGCACCTATTGGTTTGGACAAGAACTTCCCTATACCAGCTGAACAGGAAGATGTTTGTGATACTTGTCTCCATGGAAAGCAGACTAGATCACTATTTCCCAAGGGCAGCTTGACTCAAACTACAGAAAGATTTCAATTGCTACACTCCGATGTTGGTGGACTTGATGGTGCTGCTATGGTGGATTTCAAAAAATCAAATGAAGACTCAAAGAGCAAAGTGGATGTCTGCAACATAGACCTCAAGGAGGTGTGTTGAAATTGAGGTCTGAAGTTGCAGAACATGGGGCTAGAAGGAGGCACAAACCTCCGCATGATGCCACTAACTTACTGGTTGATAGTTGCTTTTAGTTTTTTTTTTTTTCCTTTTATTTCTCTTCGTTGCTGCGTGTTGTGTGCCCACTAACCATGGTGTAAAGGAACTATTTACAGCATGTTTAGTGCAAAAGTGGTTATGATGTTATTGCTTTCTATTTTCTTTTGTTAACTAGTTGTATTTAAATTACCAAAAACTTTAATGTAATTGTTATCTTCTTCCTTATATAGATAGTTCTCTCTTTTGTTTTTTTGAGCTTTCTCTTAAGAATACTTAAAATTTTAACATGACTGCATAGACCAACAAACAGAATTGCCACAAAACCAAGAATCTCCACCATTGCCAACAACCACCCAGACACTGAGAGATATGGCTGCAGAATCAACAGCACACAAACATACCAACACAAGCCATGCAGCAGAGTCAACCACCAAAAAATACCAAACCGGGTATAACTAACATATATATCAAAACTGAATGAAAATTGTGAAATGCAAGGCAAACTATAAACCCCCTAATTGATGCAGACCCAACCTACCCAGAACCTTTTGCCAGCCTATGACTACTGACCAGCCAGTTTACTTTGAGGACCAACCAAGTCTCCGAAGGCCCTGCCCTTTTTGAATCAAGGCACTATATTGTCAAACAGTGTAGACCTTGAATTTTGTATTATATTAATTGCACAGTCAATTAATTGACAAACAAAATCTTTTGTGTACATTTAGAATGCTGATGATGTACCAACAAACTACAACTGAATGTTTAGATTGTCACCAGGCTGGGTATCAATGTAGGCAATGATCATTATTGCTATTATAACTCTTATTATCAAGAAGGGCTCAGACGTCAGGAGGATTTGTTGAAACAAAACCTTCAGGTTTGATTGTTTCCCTCTGTTTCTTAATGACTTCTATTTGGCTGAGATGTTTTGGCTAATGAACCAAGGTCTGTGATAATGCGACTCTGAATTATTGATCAGATTGCAAGCTTGCTGGTTTTCCTATTAGGAATGATCTCTACACAAGGAAGGTTGGTTTATAACTTTTTGTGCCTACTTGCTGTTTCTGATTTTATTTTTGTATATAAATGATAGGGGTGTATAGTGGGATTCTTTGTAAGCTGGCTACAACATGATTCCGAGATAATATGCTAATCAAAGCATAGCATGATTCTGAGATAATTTCTGCATTTAACAGTCTCTTTCAGACCCGAGCGCAAAGCACGGGCCTTATACTGGTCTTACTTAGTTTGACTTTGTACACTCATTTGCATCGAGTTGCACGCGAGGCAGTAGGGCATCACTGTCTATGCCCCATTTAACCTCCAATTCAGACTAACAGCGTTCGCATGGGATGGAAAATTATAGTGGTAAGCCTTGGTCTAACACCTTTTTCTTGGTGATTGTGGCTTCTGGAAGTTGAAAATCTGAAACTGACAGGTGAGGGGCAGAAATTGGAAGAAAAATGGTCAAGTTTAAGCAAGTCGTAATAATAAAAACCGCAAATAGCAAGCCTGAATTGTTACAAATTGCTCGAATTATTGAAAGCTTAGCATGCAAAAGAAAGCTTGCGTTTGGGCTTTTGAGGTAAAGGTGTTAGCGAGAATGATTTATAAGGTCACACCTTTTTCTTTACGACCTATCACTTTTTTTGATTCCTCTCTGTAACTTTATCTGCATCCGAAGGAAGAGCCATGTGCCTTCTTTTCCCTACTAATCATTCCAGTCTCATCTAGACGATGACACATCTTCAAATTTGTCAACCCCCACACCTCGATCGATATGTACTTTTGGATAGTTTCTCTGTAACCCCACTCCTCCTTTTCCATGCTTCTTTGGTGCATTTCACATTACCAAACATCTCAGAAATATTGTTGTTTTTATCTTAACAACATTTAGCTGTGAAATTATTTAGGTTGGGTTTGATGACGACCTGATTTTATTTTTACTTTTGGAACTGGAAAGTGAAAGGCATTGGTTGATAAAGTGCCCTTTATTCTTTGACTCTTTTGGACAGCGAAAATTGTTGGTTGATAGACACTCGAGTTAAAAGACTTTTGTCCTAAAATCAAGGATATGGGTTTAAGCCTTTGCCTTGCATGCATTAAAAGATGATGAAAGAATTAAAGTAAAAAAGCCATTACGAAACTAATACATCTTAGAAATTAAGTGAGCATAACAATATGATTCCCAAAAATCGATTTTTATAAAAGAAAAAAGAATTTCTTAAGAATTTTCCAAGCACTACTGGACAAATTTCAAAGTCCCGTGACATGAAAAAGCCTAGCAGAAGCTGATAAAAGAAGGAAATGAAAGAGAAAATCTCATATTCAAATAGCAAAGACAGCCCATCGTTATATCAGCAAAATGGAAATCAATACACATGCAGTTCATCATTTTCTTAATCCACAAGAACTAATTTAAGACCTTCCGATGGGAATGAAACCGCAGCATTTTGATTCTAAGTATTGTACTGGTCATAGAATCTTGTGACATGAAAAGCAAGAATCTGTTAGATAAGGCAAAGAAAATTTACAACATCGAGAAAGGATACAAGAAGGAAATTATTGCAAGTAAGCGTTCAGCAGCAAACAGGGCATTTAATTAATCCATTCTCATTACAATCAGAGCATTTCATGCACAATTCATCACCTTCCTTTTCTGCATAAACCTTGCGGCTGCCGTTGCAGTTTGAGCATACCAGGAACCGCAAATTGGCACAACCAGTACACAGGCAGTTGGGGGCGCCTGAAGGTATCCCTTCCAGGAGCTTCTTCAGCTTTCCTTCCTCGTGAAGGCCAACAACCTCATCAGCTCCTCCTATGTATCTGCCCTTGATGAACAGCTTTGGAGGGATCACTCTGCCACCCAATATCCTCCATAACTCTTCCCTAAATTCCTTGTCCATTGAAACATCTCTCTCCTGGACCAATATCTTGAAACTGTCCAAGAGAAACCTGATACTGCTGCAATCCTCAAACGTTTTTCTTATTCCTCTCAAGCTTGTTGTATAGAAAATGACTGACTCTTCTCCACCTGGTGGACATTTCTCTTCAAAATCTGTTAAAGATGGATGTTCTTCAATATCCACCTTCCCTTCTGGTATGCTATCATCCTTGACGATGATCTCTGAAGAGGTTGGAAGCTGAGAATTATCCTTACTAGTCACTATGTCCTTGAACTCCGTGGAGGGTGTAATGCTATCTTGGTCGCCAACCTCAAATTCCAACTCCGTTTCTTCATCTTTTTGATCTTTCAAATCAACTACTGATTCTGGGAGATCAACGTTGCTTTTGCAGTCTTGATCTTTGTAAACTGATAGGCTATGGCAATTTTGATTGGAGAAGGTGTGTTGGGGGTTAAGCTGAAGGACTAGGCCTTGTTTCAAAGAGCTGATAGTAGGAATGAATTTGAGTTTCTTTAGAAATCTTCCCTTCATGTCTTTCATCTCTTATAGCGATCCGATGCAAGAACTCTGCCACATGCAAAAAATTGAGAAGGGGAGCATGGAAGGGAGTGAAGCTTGAATAAGAGTGACAAGAGAGCCAATTAGAGAAGACAACAGGATGATGAGGTTTCTCTTTTGGTTTCCAATGTCAGGAAAGTGAAAACTGAAAAGCTGTGTGTTGGTTGCTTTTAAAAGCTTTGAATGATCACTGAATAGTGGGGTACCCCTTCTCCATTGGAGTCCACTCACCCATAGCCAACATTTTGGTGCCTCATCATGGCATAAGGGCAAGAACATGCATCATTCAGTCCTTCCTTACTTTTCTTCTTTAAAAGCAAATAATTTTTATGAAGAGAAAATGAAGAATTTTAATGACAACAGGGTCCTGTCGACATTAGTATAATAATAATAGCCCTTAATACTACTTTAATGTGATGCTGTTCTATGTTTTAAGCAAGAAGAAAAGAAAAAGAGAGGTAAAAACAACTTTATTTAGATGTGACTTGATAACTTTAACCTGCCAGACGGTAGAGGCTTAATGGCTCGAATATATGGACTCCACACGTTACAGATGTTCTTTCAAGTTAAGACTTGAGTCACGGCCTGAATTTGTTTCCTACTGTTTGCATGGTGTTGGAAAGTTGATGACTCAAGATTTATGATAACATGGATGGTGCTAGGAATTCAATCGATCGGGGCAGACTTTGAGTCCCAACCTTAATAATTTTCCAACTATTTGCATATTGTTGAAAAGTTGATGGCCCAAGATTTATGCTATTGAATTGGTGTTAAGAATTCAATCAATGAAGATGGAATGAAAAATAAGCCAAATATCAGCCAGGAAGACAGGTTGCGGCATGTGGGAGCGGCCATGATTTATAGAGCAAGCGTGCAATAGCTGCTTTACTTCTTTCTCTTGTCATCCATTGGAATTGGATAGGTATGCCCCTCATGATCACCTTTGCACTGAGTTAAGCTCCATCTGAATCACTAGGTATCCTTTTTCTTAATTCCTTATCAGCACTATTAATTTCATATAAAATGACCTAGACTTTCTAGCTCTAACCAGAAATTAGGTTTGACATTCAGTGGATTGTTCCCCAAGCTCGGCATATTTCGAGCTTCGTAAGTAAGAGTCAGCATCATACAATTGGCTGGAGGTAGCCACTATTATAAGGAGATTTGATTACAAATTTACTAAAGAACCAGACAACGGTTTCTTCCAGCGATGCACTACGCTATAGGTGTAACATAACAGCTTCAACTTTTCATAGTAACAACTCACTTGGATAATCAAGTTATACATGCATGAGAAAAGTGAAGCTGGAAGGAACATACAGTGTATATAAAGTACATTACATGGAGAAGAAAATGTTAAAAGTATTCTAATGTTTAGCTATCAGCCACAGATGATGCAAACCCGATGTTAAAATCAAACCCAATGCATGTCAACTCATGCTTCTTTGCATCGTACATCCTCATCTTCAGAGAGTATGAACCCTGCATAAGGTCAAGAGTTGTCAGAGATATTAATCAAATAATAAAAAATGAAGTTAGCATTTCCTTATTGTTGATTAAAGTGAAAATCAATCAAACAAACGCAAACACGAGACTTCACAACAAACAGTTATTGAACATATGAAGATGTGGAGGACCTTTGAGCAATAGATACAAAACCAACCTCAATACATAAGCATTACTCATAGATGATTGTGGACAAGATGAAAGTCTTGACAATATTGCATTCTATTGTATGATATTCAACAAGGATCAATGACAAAAAGAATTGGGGCCTTATTCTGAGCTTATAATGTAAAAGCCAAAAGAAGGGGCATCAAAATCATGTTCCATGACTGGAACAAGGTAAATGATGTTCTTCATTGAGGAGATACAGTGGTACTCATGCAATCAACCTTAACGAATCTCAGCATCTATTACCTAAAAGTTACGCCACACTGGTGACAACAATCACTGTTGGCTATATCACATGAATAAAATATTTTTAGTTTTTCACCGGATGGTTAAAGCATGGGCATGAATAAAACATCTTCATAGGTTTTAATATAACATTTACTTTTCTGGGGATTTAATGGCACTTGTCAAAGGTTTCTTTGTCAAAAAAGTTGCATTTGCTAACAGAAATGCTTTAACTAATAACGCATGCACAAACCCTGATTTTTCTTTTGCCTCCAGTTCATACATAAATCACAATTATTCTTTTGCCTCCAGTTCATACATAAATCACAATTAAGTTGTGGGAATAAACTGCAAGACGAGCCTAGCACAAGTAAAGCTTACTACCAATCTAATATTGCAATGAGTTAGCTTGTGATAAAACATAAATGATGGAAAAAAGCTTGGAATATAGACAACAACTCAATTCAACTCTAATTAAACTTGAAAACTTCGACTGAAATCTGTTATCTGTTAAGGCTTGGATCCAAAGGGACTTGAAAGAACTGAAAGCGTGCTCTGACTAAATAATACTTGCAAAACTTAATAGATGATTGGGACGATGGGAAAAGGTAGTTAAAACAGGGGAGACTGAATTATTTCTTCCGTTTAATATGACGGAAATACAATGAGGGAAGACAAAGGAAGGGATTCTGTATCCTTCCAAACCAATAAGAATCCCAATTTTATCCATGCATGGGATCAAAATAGGAGGAAAAGACCAACCATTGACTTAAGCTTTTCAAATTTGCAATTTGATCCTCAATCATTTTTAGTTGTTGCTTTTTATTTACTCAACTAAAAATAAGGTCTCATATACCTCCTAATCCCTAAGCACAGCGCAAACTAGGCCAAAACTAGACAAATAGGTTGGCAACAAGGCATTTTAACTCTTCTGCTTATGCAAGAAAATTAGTGCAGACAACAATTTAAAATGAAAAATCCAACTAGACATCAATGATTAATCAAGAACTAAGTTGGGACTTACAGGGGGAGTATATCCTGGCAAAACTTGCGAGTGAGAAACCACAAAATCACCAGTAGTCACAGGGCAAGATGTCTCCTCACAAAGGTCATGAGTCTCACTGTGAATGTGCCATCCAAAATACGAAACCTCAATCACCAGTTTCCCCCCAGCAATTGCCGAACCTGTAAATCATTATAGAAAAAACAAACCACCTTCGATCAAAAACTAAAAGACATCACAGTTTTTGGTTGCATGCTACAACCGCCATTATCAATCATCGGACGTGACACTACGCTATCATATAATTAACCAATAATAACGGTATCAAGCTCCAGAACTACAAGACACCCCGCAAACCAATGTTATATATACAACACACACGTCGTGAGCATCAAATCACAACACCTAACATCAATTAACATATAGATTATGGGGAAACGTTGATTAGTTACCCGTTGTTGCAGAGATACTGAAGGTAGCAGGCTTCCCCCTTGCGATCGGATTAGGCGAAATCTCAACTGCTTGAACCTTTACATCATACTCAGTTGTCTTATCTGCGTAAGTAATTTTATTTTTTTACCACGATTTAAAAAAAAAAAAATCAGCTCCAATTTTGTTGGGGATTTTTTTAAAAAAATAAATCACTCTCTAATATTGATAGCTAATATCGTCACAAATAAAATTAGAACAATATCGGGAAATAATATACTTACTGGCGAAAAACAAAATCAATAAACCAAAAATGAAAACAATAAAAATCAATTTAATTTCTATAAATTTAAGCGGTGCACCTATGGTTGAGAGAGACTAACCGCAGTATTTTACGTCGTTGGCGAGGGTCAACGGAACGAGCAGACACAAAGACAGCAGCAAGAAGGGTGCGATGAACCGGTTGTACTGGATCATCTCCATCTGACTTCGATTTTACAGAAAAAATATAGCTTTTTTTTAAAAAAATTTAATCAGTTTGGAGAGATTTTGAGGATTTTTTTTTTTTGAAAGAAAAGAGTTCTGGAAATGTACGACGAAGTGTTTGGGGGAGATATGCAGACGGGAAGAAAGATTGGGTAGAGTGGTTTGGAGAATTGGGAGTGATCTGGGCCGTTGGTTTCTGTTGGTCAGCATAATGGACGGCGAGGATTTGGTAATTGGACAAACCAGAATGGCAGTTGGTTGGCAGTGACCGTTAGGTGAGGGGTTTTCCAATTTTTTTAAATCGGTGTCTCTGGTTGTCTTTTTCTCGGTTTCTTGAGGAAGGAGGTCCCCTTTTTCCATTTTCTTTCTTATTTATTTATTTATATTTATAGATATTTATTTATTTATTTAAGAAAAATATATTTAGTCATTAGTATATTTTGTTATAAAGTTGTACTTGATAAAACTATTAAAGAATAATAATAAAGTTATAGTTGACATATAAAACAGTTTAAAGACTTTTTAAATTATTTAAAAAAAATTTAAGTAAATTTTTATTTTTTTATTATATTTAATTAAATTTTTTATTTATTTTTATTTTGAATCAAATTAGTTTTATGATTAACTATTGATTATCTGCTATTAGTCAAAACGTTACTTATCATTTTTTTATCTATATAAAAATGATAGAGAGTAAAAATGTCATATAAACATGTTATCATGACACATCATCATCCATTGTGATATGTCAACTTATCATCTCAATATTACGTGATATAAAATTATAAGTGATATTTTAATTAATCATTTTTAGTCAATTATTAACAAAAAAGAACTGTTTGATTTAAAATAAAAATATAAAATTTAATTGAATGAAATAGATAAATAAATACTTATTTAAAAATTTTTAAATAAATTATGAGCTTTTTTAAGTATTATACCAATTATTAATTAACCAAGTTTTTTGAAACACATTAACCAACCAAGTTAAGTTATAAAACAAATATCTCAAATTAAAAACAAATAAGTAATTTTTTTTTTCAAATGAGAGTAAGTAAAAAATCTTTCCTACCACTTTTTTTCTATTTATTTTTATATATTAAAAATTTTCACTTTTTATTTTTCTTACTACCTAATAAGTACCTTAAAATCTAATTATTTTTTATCTAAAATAATTATAAAGCTCTCAACTGAGTTGCTTTCTTATAAATATATCAACGGGTAAAGTATTCATTATTTTTAAGATATCCTAACTCGAATCTTATTATTTAATAGAGTACTAGAATTCCATAAATATTAGATTAAATTTTTGAATTAATATCTGAACCTATATCTGAATATCTTAGACATTATTCATTAAATACTCATACTCATACTCATTTAATACTCGATTAAATTAAATTTAAAATTAATTTTTATGTATATTATTATTGATAAGTAAATTAATAAATTAAGTTTGTCCATAAAAAATAAATTAAAGTTTAAAATAATATTTAGAACCATTGATGAAGTTTAGTATGTAGTACATTAATTATAAAAAATTTATAAACAACAACTAATATATATATATAAACTAAATTAAAAATTAAAAATTCAAATAATTACTTATAATTAAATTTGAGTAGTAGGTACTTTAAGACTACTACTAGAACCTTACTTGAACGCGTAATGGGTAATAGTTTTATTACCCAAACTTAATTATAGGATACCTCTATCTTATTTAATGGCACTAAATAATACAAGGTACTCAATTATAAATTATCCATTGCATTCCTCAATCTCGTGACAATAACTCAGTTGAAAAATTGAGAAAAAAAATCAAATTATATTGATAAGACCGTTATAATATTTTTCTTTTGAAAACAGGGTTAGAATTCATTTTTAAACCCACTTACCCTTTTTTTTTCAATTTAAAAGTTTATAGTGCATTTGTTATGATTTTCTTCTCCTTTAACAATTGAAGAAAACTATAAAATTTTATTTTGTCTAAAATAAAATGTTAGGTTTTGGATGTAAAAATATTGCATTTGTAGCTGCTTAATCTCTTGGCTATAACTTTTCAAAAAACAAAAAAATCACTTGGCAATAAAAAAATAAAAAGAAAAAGAATAACCTTTGACTGTAGGACAAGTACCAAAGTTATCCAAGCCTAGATGCATGCAAAATGTAGTTTGAAGAACAAAAAATTCTTTAATGAATAAGAGAAAATGCATTAAAAATTCTTTAGAATTTCTTGAAGTATTTGGTCTTCATCTTTGTACGATTTAATTATTGCTTCATTGATAAATATATAATTGCACGTTTGTTGTACTCTTTCTAGTAATATGATACTTGAGCATGAAGGAGAACATATCTTTGTTAGATAATAAACCAAAAACAGCATGCACCAAGCAGACAATTAATGTGCTTAGTTGTTTATGATGCCTTCTTCTGTTTTCATGTTGTTTTGCTGATCTATCTTGCACTAATTTGTATTTCTTATGTTAAAATTTCTTGTTTAATATTTAGACAAATAACATTTGAGTGATCCAATAATGTAATTAGTGTATACATTTTATTAAAGTGGTGGATTTAATTCTTCTCCCTTATTTGGTGGACAGAGTGATGCATTGTGAAGAGAATTTACACTCCCCATCCATGCACAACACCTTTGTAATTTAGTTTACATCGAATTTAATCACTTTGCTATTAAGTACATATCTTATTTTTATTTTTTTTTTCAAATTGCCAAAATGCCACGTCGTTACTTTGCTAGTGTTTGGTCAAAGTTATGTCAATATTGTCATTATCATTTGCAAAATACGATGTCATTGATTCAATGTCATGTTAATAAGAAAAATGCTGAGTCAAATACCATGCTAGCATATATAATAAAAAAATTTAACATTGTTAGTGATTGATATGACCTTTTTTATTTTAAAAAATAAAAAATTTGACTTTTACAAACTGTCATATAATTACTAAATTTAATACTTTAATAAGATACAGAGATTAATTATATAATTCGATAATTTTCATGTGAGAATCACAAAATTATGCCTTGTTGTGGAGTAGAATGTAATTGATTGTTCACATTTGGCCTATGGATGTGTTCATGATCTTAAAGTTGAACACATGACATAATTAGAAGAAAAGATTTTATGAAACGACTTTGGTCTATATGAGGGCATACGTCCATCCCATTTACAACATAACTACACAATCCATAAACCATTTTATAAAAATACTTCCTACATGTGGTTAGAATATGCATCTCAATAGTCACTAGCACCACATTCATACCTTCAACTTTAAATGATACTTTGACAACATCAATATTCCACCCCAATTTGCGTAAAGCATATGTTACCTTTTATTTAAAGTTTCTTGTCAAAGGGACTATCTCCAAAGCCACCTTCCGCCTCCTTTTTCAAACTTTTTTTTTTTTAATGTTGCCGGCAATACTCTACTATTATAATCAATCCTTCTGTCATTTTTATCATTTCTTATGTATTTGATTTTGGTTATTAATTTTTTTTTTAAATTATTCTACTACTAGTTTAATATTATTCAAAAAGTAATGAAAATACTAAGATCGAGCTGAACAGTTATATCATGCGGATAACAATGAAAGAAACTCAAAACAAGGGTCAAGGTGAGTTAGATTAATTTCATCTTGAGATATTTTGAAGAACTTGACTTGATCACTTAGATATAAAGGTAATTATTCAAGGACTAATGAAAATAACTAAATCGACTAGTTATATCTAGTGGATAGTAGTGAAAGTAACCCAAAATAAATGTTAGGATTAAACAAATTAATTTCATCTTGAGATGTTATGGAGAACTTGACTTGGTGGTTCAGATATAAAGATAATTAGAAAGTCTTTCGCCTAACTTTTTCCTAAAATACAAATGTTTATATTTTTTTTATCTTTTCCCTCTTATTTTGTTTTCTTATACCTTTTCTCTCTTACTTTCGACCCAAGAACAAATCTTATTACATTATTAGACCATATGATTTACAAGCTTATCATTTCAATGACCATACAATGAATTTTAGTATTTGTAACCTATTGTGTAAACTAAAACCTTTTTCAATAATTGATGTGCTTTATATAAATTATTAAAACTCTTTTTACTAAGCAACAAAACTTATTCTTGAATAATTATTTTTTCTGGCTCAATGTATAGAGTTTTGACAATTCATTTCATGAGGACAAGATTTCTTGATAGAGATGAGATAAACTTTCACTCTTAGCTTTATCTCTAATATTGTCTCTCAAATTCTTTTTACTTAGTCCCTTTTTAACTTATTCTCAGCCTTAATTACTTTGTCATTTACGTATTCTCTTTTACCAGTCACAACATGTAATATTTTCAACTACTACTCCAATCTTTCTCTCCATTACTTCTAGCATATCTTTTTACTTTTTTACAATACTTCCCCTCTTTGTATAATGAGAACCCCTCCCTCTACACCTGCCTTGATATCAAATTTTTCATTGCACCCTGGATTTAGTGTTTTTGCCCTTTTATTCTTTCAAGTTCAATATGCAATGTTGTCATAAATTTGGCAGATCCAAGATAAATGGTAGAAGATATACTAATGATGTAGGTGAATACTCATTTAACATTTCAAGTTCATATTCTACGGTAGAGTTCTAAATATGACATGGACCTTTGTTTTTATTTTGAAAAAAAAAATCAAATTTGGCTACTTGAATGTGAAGTCGATACATGTATGTAGAGTTAAATGAAATGTTCACATGTATCGAGAGTTTTTGTCTATTGCGAGTTGCGGGATGCAATTGCATTGAAGACTAATTCATGTGCAATTAGAGTGGGTAAAATTGGATTGGACCAATAACTTAACCGAATCGAATGAGATTTGGGTAAAATTGTTTAGTTTAATTGGTCCATTAGGTTTATTGATTTAAATAGTTTGGTCCAATTGGTTTATCTGATCAATTCTCGCTTTTAAAATTTTTAGATCGAACTGATCAAAAGATCAAATTAATATTATATATATTATTTTAAAATTTATATAAAATTTATGTTTTCAATAAACTAAGTTGACGTGGATTGTTGTTTGCAATTGAGTTTGAATTGGGTGTGGGATTAGATTCATAGCTGATGG